TTCATCTGAGTGCTTCCGTTTTATGTGATTTCGTAAACTTCCACTCCATTTGGTTTTAAATGGACACTTATCACACTCATATTGTTTGTGTAAATCATGTTTTCTCATATGACAATTTAAATTAGATTTATCTCTGGATTTGTAGGAACATTTCGTACAATAATACCAACGTTTTCCGTCAATTTTCTTGAAGTGGAAAATATTTGTATTCTCTTTCACAAAACTCACACTTGTTAGATTTTCTTTTTTTTTCCATGCATTCTGAAGTATGTTGAAGCCACTTCAACGACAAATTTGTTTCAAAATCGCACTTTTCGCAAACGTAATTTCGTACACTGAAGTCCTGAAGTGATAAATCGTCCATAGATTCGTCTTTAACACCGTGATTTTTATTAATGTGTTGTTTGAACAGAATCGTTAGTTCCGTTTTAAAATCGCAGTCTTTACAATGATACTCTTCGATTTTGGCGTTTTCGCACGTATATTTTTCCTGAGATAAACGGTGTCGTCGCACGTGGTTCACCATTAAGAAAACCGATGTTGTAAAATAGGGACACAGTTTACAGTTGTGGACGTTTTTCCAGGAAGATCTTCCCCAGGCTCCAAGTGATTCAGAATACTCCAAAGTTGACATTTTGGTTGCCTACAACGTCTTATTTGTATTACACTGGGGAAGGGAATGCAAATTTGGTTACCAAAATATCCGTCCACGACTCTTGCAAAGAGGTTATGATTTTTAACCTAACATTATCACGTGACAAATGATTTGAGCAGATTAGACGGTGCTAGGGCGTGATTGTTCACGTTTCAGCTAGAGCACATTAAATTTACAGTACATGTAATCATTTTCCGGCTTAAATAATTACAAAATTTATTATTTGCTTAAATTTTAAAGGTTAGGTTAGGAACTGTCAAATAGAAAATTAAATTGGTAGAAGGGGTACAGGGGCGGGGCTTAAGTTGTGCGACTTGTAGTCGGGCGGGCTAGCAGTGGCGTAACATCGATGTATTGAGAAGAGAGGCTCAGCTTCCGCTGAGTTATGTTTCTTTCAAAAACAATGAAAAATAGAGCAATTTTTACAATAGAATACAGAACCATTTAATAAAATAAATTTATTTGTTTGGTAAAAAATACGCTTACGTAACAATAGGGATTATAGCATGAGTAAATAATTTCACGAACCCCGCATTATAAACCAGTATCATACGCTATTTTATAATCGACTAGTCTTAAATCAACAGTTAAATCTTTAGATAAAAGCGGGGATAAAACCCTGAGAATTAGCAACCCATGACTATAGTTACATGGTTTTTAATTTTCTGGCGCAAATTGTCAATACTATAAAGTCGGATTACAATAAGGCTTAACGTTTTCTGTGTTTAACCTCGAAATAATAATTACAGTTCATATTTTAGCATAATTGTCGTTTATGTAGCCTTGACTGTACACTGTACAGTAATTTATCAGTTGTTATTGCTCACTAAAAGTTACCTTTTTACTTCTTCTACTTAGTTTTTTATTCAACTAATACATCATAATAAAGCATTAACAAACCGTTAAATTCATTTTCTATAATGTCAACGCTAATAAAATAGAAAATTGATATTTTTATTAACACAAATAATATTTTGATATTTCAAAGTCGAAATATTCATCGCCGCTGCCACTGCTCTCACGATATTTGTAAGGCCAAACCAAAACAATGTTCTGCGCACTCCCACCAGCTGTACCCTTTCGTTATGAAAGCTGCTCTATCTATTGGCTACACTTGTTAAATGAGTCCACTAATTTCCCGATAACAACATATTTATTAATAAAACTATTTCTGAAAATGTTAATGGCTAGTTAATATTCTCGTTAATATTCTCGGCGGTTTTGAAAGGTGTTATAAGAATCGTAACTAGCAGACGATCATCTACAATTTGACACCAATTTTGGGTCGATTTAACCAATTTTACCCCCTTTTTTGAAAATTTTTGGAATTTTTGAACTCAATTTGCGTGTTTATTAGACCAGATATCGCGACGGCGATTTGAGAATCGTAACTAGCGGAAGATTATCTACAATTTCACACCAATTTTCGATCGATTAGATAATAAAATAACAAACACTGTGATGCCAATAAGCGTATATGTATGACCTGATGACATCATTGAGGAAACTTGATGGTTCGCATATACGTGTTACGGAATTTTTTTTTTTTTTGAGGCATTATATTTATTTAACGTGGAGAATAAGAAGTTTAGTTTTTTCTCAATTTTAATGAAAAAATTGTCATAAAATACAGCAAATTTCTTTAAACACAAAACCGTAATCGCATGTATACAATACACTTAATACCACTCACTCTACACCAAACTAAATTAAATCATATTTATGTCATTTTTCTTTGTGTTTATAAAGAAATTATATAAATTTGCTTTTGTAAGGACACTGATCGCATTTGTATTATTAGCGTCGGTTTTTTTTAAATGACATGTATTCATATGTTTCATTAAATAGTTCTTGAGTTTCGTCTTATGTGGACAATATTCGCACTCGTACCACTTGATTTCTTCTTCATTCAAATGTCTACAGATTACATGACGTTTTAATTGATATGAATGTTTTGCCTTATATGGACACTCATTACACTGATACCATTTGATGTCTTCTTCATTCAAGTGTAAGTTGGTTATGTGACTTTTTAAACAATATTTTCTTCTAGTTTTGAAAGAACATTTTTCACACTTGTACCATTTAACATCTTTGCCATCTGAATAGGTCTGCTTTTTGTGGAGCGTACTTATATGAATCTTTAAATAACAACGACGTTTGGTTTTATATGGACAGTATTTGCACTTATATGGTTTGATGTCAAAATGAACCTGTACATGCCGTATTAAACTGCGTCTTACTTTCGTTTTATACGTACACTTGGTACATTCATACCACTCTGCTTCTTCTGAATGCTGAACATCTCTGTGTTTTTTTAAACTTGAATTAATTTTAGTTTTGAACGGACATTTGTCACATTCGTGCCATTTAATTTCTTTGTTATCCAAATGTTGCGAAATTACATGTTTTTTTAAATACCACCCTAATTTAGTTTTGAATGGACAATATTTACATTCGTAGCACTTATTTTTGAGGTCTTCATTGTTCAAGTGAAACGAATTTTCGGTTTTAAATGATTTACGCTTTTCAGCATTTTGTTTCTTTAAATGCACCACTTTCTCGTGGTGGCTTAAAGATCTTTTGTCCCTTGTTTTAAATTCGCACTGTTCGCATTCGTACCACGTAATGTGTTTTAAAATTACGTGACTCTGTAAACTATATTTACGTCTAGTTTTGTATGGACAGTCATTGCAATGATACCATTTACCTTCTTCTTCTTTCAAGTGTAAGTTGTGTATGTGTACAGTTAAACGACTTTTTATTACAGTTTTGTAAGGACATTTTTCACATCTGTGCCATTCAACATCTCGTTCCTCTAATAAATGGTTTTGTTTTTTGTGACTGCTTAGATTTCCTTTCCATTTGGTTTTAAATGGACACTCATCACACGCATATTGTTTGTTTAAATCATGTTTTCTCATATGTTGTTTTAAATTACCTTTATGGTTAGATTTGTAGGAACATTTCGTACAATAATACCAACGTTTTCCGTCAATTTTCTTGAAATGGAAAATATTTGTATTCTCTTTCACAGAACTCACACTTGTTAGATTTTCTTTTTTTCCCATGCATTCTGAAGTATGTTCACCCCACTTTAACAACAAATTTGTTTCAAAATCGCACTTTTCGCAAACGTACGTCTGCACACTGAAGTCCTGAAGTGATAAATTGTCCCTAAATTCGCTTTTAACGCTGTGATTTTTATTAATGTGTTGTTTGAACAAAATCGTTAGCTCCGTTCTAAAATCGCAGTCTTTACAATAATACTCTTCAATTTTGGCGTTTTCACACGTATATTTTTCCTGTGATGAACGGTGTCGTCGCACGTGGTTCACCATTAAGAAAACCAATGTTGTAAAATAGGGACACCGTTTGCAGTTGTGGATGTTTATCCATGAAGATCTTCCCCAGGATCCAAGTGATTCGGAATACTCCAAAGTTGACATTTTGGTTGCCTAAAACGCCTTATTAGTATTACACTGGGGAAGCGAATGCAACTTTGGTTACCAAAATATCCGTCCACGACTCTTACAAAAAGGTTATGAAACTATAACCTAACATTCTCAAGCAAAAAATGACTTGAAAAGTATAATTTGAGCAGATTAGACGGTGTTAGGGCGTGATTGTTCACGTTTCAGCTAGAGCACATTAAAATTACAGTACATGTAATCATTTTCCGGCTTAAATAATTACAAAATTTATTATTTGTTTATATTTTAAAGGTTAGGTTAGGAACTGTCAAATAGAAAATCGCAATAGAAAATATCCCTAGTTAGTAATTTAAATTGGTATCTATTGGCTACACTTGTTAAATGAGTCCCCTAATTTCCCGATAACAACATATGTATTAATAAAACTATTTCTGAAAATGTTAATGGCTAGTTAACATTTTCGGCGGTTTTGAGAGGTGTTTTAAGAATCGTAACTAGCGGAACATAATCTATTTCGGAAATTTTGAACTTACTTTGCGTGTTTATTAGACCAGATATCGGGACGGCGATTTCAGAATCGTGACTAGCAGAAGATTATCTACAATTTGACACCAATTTTGGGTCGATTAAACCAATTTTAACCACTTTTTTGGAAAATTTGAGGAAATTTTGAACTCACTTTGCGTGTTTATTAGACCAGATATCGGGACGGCGATTTCTGAATCGTAACTAGCGGAAGATACACCAATTTTCGATCGATTATATAATAAAATAACAAACACTGTGATGCTAATAAGCGTATATGTATGACCTGATGACATTATTGAGGAAACTTGATGGTTCGCATAAACGTGTTACGGAAATATATTTTTTTTGAGGCATTATATTTATTTAACCTGGAGAATAAGAAGTTTAGTTTTTTCTCAATTTTAATGAAAAAATTGTCATAAAATACAGCAAATTTCTTTAAACACAAAACCGTTTGCCCACCCATCAAAAATCACCACCAGCCGCCACTGCATGTATTCATATGTTTCGTTACATAGCCCTTGAGTTTCGCCTTATACGGACAATATTCGCACTTGTACCACTCGATTTCTTCTTCATTCAAATGTCTACAGATTACATGACGTTTTAATTTATATGCATGTTTAGCCTTAAATGGACACTCATTACACTGATGCCATTTGATGCCTTCTTCATTCAAGTGTAAGTTGGTTATGTGCCTTATTAAACGATCTTTTCTTCTAGTTTTGTAAGGACATTTTTCACATTTGTGCCATTCAACATCACGTTCGTCTAAGTGGTTTCGTTTTATGTGACTGCTTAGATTTCCTTTCCATTTGGTTTTAAATGGACACTTATCACACTCATATTGTTTGTTTAAATCATGTTTTGCCATATGATATCTTAACTGAGCTTTATTTCTAACTTTGTAGGAACATTTCGTACAATAATACCAACGTTTTCCGTCAATTTTCTTGAAATGGAAAATATTTGTATTCTCTTTCACAAAACTCACACTTGTTAGATTTTCTTTTTTTTCCATGCATTCTGAAGTATGTTGAAGCCACTTCAACGACAAATTTGTTTCAAAATCGCACTTTTCGCAAACGTAATTTCGTACACTGAAGTCCTGAAGTGATAAATCGTCCATAGATTCGTCTTTAACACCGTGATTTTTATTAATGTGTTGTTTGAACAGAATCGTTAGTTCCGTTTTAAAATCGCAGTCTTTACAATGAAACTTTTCAATATTGGCGTTTTCGCACGTATATTTTTCCTGAGATAAACGGTGTCGTCGCACATGGTTCACCATAAAGAACACCGATGTTGTAAAATAGGGACACAGTTTGCAGTTGTGGACGTTTTTCCATGAAGATCTTCCCCATGTTCGAACAGATTCGGAATACTCCAAAGTTGACATTTTGGTTGCCTAAAACGTCTTATTAGTATTACACTGGGGAAGGGAATGCAATTTTAGTTACCAAAATATCCGTCCACGACTCTTACAAAAAGGTTATGAAACTTTAACCTAACATTCTCAAGCAAAAAATGACTTCAACAGTATAATTTGACCAGATTAGACGGTGTTAGGGCGTGATTGTTCACGTTTCAGCTAAAGCACAATAAATTCACAGTACACGTAATCATTGGTCAAATTTTACAAAGAGCACTTCTCGATTTCGCACAAACTGTTTGCACAGAACTCTTCTACAGGACCCCCTCATTACGTTCCTTGCCTTCAAAAGTTGTGGAAATGCTTCCTTGTGTCAGAAAAAAATATTTAGTGTTCGCCCTATGGTTTGCACCCTATTGGTTGCGCCGCATGTAGGCAACCAACGACACACACACAGTTGAACTCGCACGAATTCCAATAACTAAATGATCCACGGAGCAAGAAGTGCCACGTTTAGGGGCATGTTTGTAATGGGGTGCAGGGCGCGAAGCGCCCTGCCTCCACTAAAAACCCGATATTACACCTACCCATGTTGTTGACTATAAAAAGTTTGGTTATGTTCGAAACGACTTGCCATTGAAGAGTGTGCAAATGGGAAATTTAATAATTTTTTTGTGGCAAAAGTAAGCATTTCCACAACATTTGAAGGTTAGGAACGTGATCAGGGGGTCCTGTAGAAGAGTTCTGTGCAAACAGTTTGTACGAAATCGAGAAGTGCTCTTTGTAAAATTTTACCTAATCATTTTCCGGCTTAAATAATTACAAAATTTATTATTTGTTCACTAGTGATGTGAAAAATCGATTCGATTCTTGAATAATCGATTGTATCTCATACTAAAGAATCGATTTTCTGTAGATATTTTAAACTTCGATTAATATTTAAATCGATTATTTTTTACGAGAATCGGCTAAAAAAATCAATACCCGTTTAGAAAAATCTAGTGACTTTAGCCACATTTGCGTGGTACTGGTTACCGTGCTGTGCATTGAATGTTGTTCTGTGTGTGGTTCTTTGGTTTTGCTGTTGCTATGGTTACCTACATCGTGCCTACATCCCACATTTGTAAAATCATCGTATGTGCATGTGAAATACTGAAATGCCTAGATTGAAGATTTGGCGGAAGTGGTAAAATCCCCCTTTTTTGTAAGTAAAATTATTAATCCGTGTATTAATCTTGCCAGATTTTTTGTTCGTAGAGTTTAGGTAAACCACGATTTTATATTTTTTCAATATTTTAGATATTAGGATGTCGATGCCAACGTCCAAATCTATTAAACGATATTTTACAAAAATCGATGCAATATCCTCAAGATGTAGATTTTGTCTCAAAATAGTTAAAAATCATAGTAATACTACTAATTTGCTCAGCCACATGAAAAGGAAGCATCCTATGATCCCTTTGAATCAGAAATCGATAATGAATGTAGAATCAAAATCAGAGCAAGAGGAGCCATGTAAAAAAAGACAATGTTTCGAGAAGCCCACATCCCCTATTATTCAATCCGAACCTGGGTGCAGTGGTAGCAGGACAATTGAAAGAAGTTGTGATAATATATCGAATTTATCAGAAGCAACAACTTTAAGCATCTTGGATAGCTCATCATTTTCACATATCAAAGGAAAACAGAAAAAAGTTACTGAAGTGTTTGAAGAAGTATCTTCATATACAGGTTTGTTCAATAATTGAGCAATTTATATTACAAAATTTATTTAAATTTTAGAAGGTGGTAGAAATGCCAGTAAGATTACAAATGCCATTTTGTATATGCTGGCTGTAGATAACATGCCACTGAAAACTGTAGAAAATAAAGGGTTTAAGAAGTTTTTACAAACTACACTTCCACTGTACAAACTACCATGCCGAAAAACTTTCACGAATATGATGGATGAACGGTATGAAGTTATTAGCTCTCAAATTAAAGAAGATTTTAAGAATGTTTTAAATTTCACAATAACAACGGATATATGGACTGATTCTTTCAACACTCGAAGTTTTATGGGAATCACCGTACACTTTTTTAACATGGGTGAATTAAAGTCTGTGAATATTGGTGTGATTATGTTAGAAAAAAGTCACACCGGTGAATATATATGTGAAAAATTAAATGATTTATGTGTGCAGTGGAATATTGACAAGGAAAAAGTAACGGCTATTGTAACGGACAATGGAAGCAATGTTGTGAAGGGGGCATACCTTTGTTTTGGAAAAAAAAAACATCTTCCCTGCTTCGCTCATACACTGAACTTAGTAGTTACAAACGCCTTAAAACTTACAACTCATCTAAGTGATATTATCAATAAGGTTAAAGAGATTGTTGCCTTTTTTAAACATAGCACCAAGGCAACTGAGGAATTGAAGTCTCAACAAATCCAAAATGGGGCGCCAAATAATAAAACGTTGAAGCTAATCCAGCAGTGTGAAACTCGTTGGAATTCAACGTACCTAATGTTGCAGAGATTTTTATTGTTGGCAACTTACATAAGTTCAGTGCTATTTAATTACAAAAATCCAACTATGGTTAATCATGATGAAATTGAAATTTTAGAAGAAGTTGTTTTAATTTTAAAGCCATTTCAATTACTTACTACAGAAATTTCAGGTGAAAAATATGTAACAGCAAGCAAAATAATTCCTCTGGCACATTGTTTAAAATTGTCCTTAAATCGTTTGGATGGTTCTACTGAGTTTGGGAAAGAGCTCATCACAAATTTGGGTAATGAAGTACAGAAACGTTTCTATTCTGAGGAATCTTTTATTGAGAGAAATGAAATATTAGCAGTAGCAACTGTTATTGACCCTCGGTTTAAGAAAATACATTTTGAAAGCGCACGATCGTTATCAAATACATTAAATATTATATCAAAAATGTTTCCAACAAAAACAAGGGAGGTAGACTCTGAAGGATTTTTTAAACCAGTTTCTGATAATAGTAATGATATATGGAATATTCATGAAAATTTGGTTGTTAGTAAAGAATCTCGAATTTCAGATGTAAATAGTGGAAATGGTTTGCCAACAGAATTGAAGCAGTACTTAGACCAATCGATTATTGCTCGAAATGATGATCCAATTCAGTATTTTAAGCAGTTAAAGATAGCGTTTCCTGAATTGTATAAAATTGCAACCAAGTATTTGTCAGTTGTTGGTACATCCGTACCATGTGAGAGACTGTTTAGTAGAGCGGGAGAGATCTTAGCAGACAAACGGTCTAGACTAACAGGACCACATTTGTCAAACTTAATATTCCTGAGCAGTATTGAAGATAAGTACTGGTTTGAATAATTTACAATTATATTTTTGTTTTAAGAGATAAATTTAATTTTTATGTTTACGACTGAATATTATTGATTTTGTATTTTATTGTATTAAGTTTATTTTCATTTAAAATGTTCACAAATTTTTTATTTTTTTACTCCAATTAAAGTTTATGACAATGTTGGAACTTTTTTTAACATTTTCCACAAAACGATTTAATCGAATCGATTATTTTGATTTGTGATTAATTGAATCGATTAATGGTCTAATCAAACTTTATCGATTTATCGATTCGATGTTTTTCGGACCAAAGTCGCATCACTATTGTTCACATTTTAAAGGTTAGGTTAGGTGAGGTACTGTCAAATAGAGAGGTGTCGTTCGCGAACGAACGAATCAAATTGAACGGGTCGTTCGAATGAACGAGTGACCGAAATCGTTCCCAACGCAAACTAGTCGTTCTTTCGTTCATTTCGTTCACTCGTTCACTCGTTCACCGTTCACATTGTCACGACTGGATCTTGGTTCCGTTCGATCTTTGAATCATGGCTCCAGCACAGTTCTATGTTCTGTATCCAATACTAGGAGCACATGCTATGCTATTTATGAAATTAAGTAAGAACGTAAGTTTTCCAGACAGATTAATTCCAGTAGTATGAATTTAAATTAGGAACCGGGAACAAAAATGACAATTTATGACGATAACTAATATACAATGTTCATAAACGTCTGAACATTAGAAACTAAAAAAATAAATGTAAATTAAGAATTATTATTACTATTATAATGATTATTAATAAAAAAAAAATCCGTGTTATTTTTTTAGAATACAGGATTGTGTGACGTCAAATTAAATCGTTTGAATATGCTACGACCTGATTAATTAAGAATATTTAACATTTAACGTTCATTTGTTTTTATCTATGACATTCAACTTTTTTTTAATACACCGTATACATTGTATAGAGATTCTTCTAGTTTTTTTTTAATTCTTTGATTTAGCATATGCCATATTTTACTCAAAAGTTGCTTGGAAGCTGTGATAAAAACAAATTTAATTTTTGTGTCAAAAGTGCTATTGATGTATTTATTAACACAATTATTTGCGTCCACAAATTCAAGTTACTTTTTTTAAATATTAAATTATTATTTATACATCACAGAATTCAGAAAAAAATCGTTACATGAATGTCTAAAAAAAATGGGAGGCATTAAAAAAAATTAAATGTAGACAAAACCAAATAAACGTTAAATCATTAATTTTTCGAATCAGATCATGGTATATTTCAAACGATTTAATTTGACGTATCACACAATGCAGTATTCGAAAAAAAAAGGCAGCTCAATGGGCCGGGGTTTTTTTTTTCGAATACCTATGCGATAGTTCTGAGCATGACCTTCCCTATAAAGTGATCGGATTCAAGCAAAAGGGAAACTAAGACCATTGACCGAAGAGCCGAAAGACCGAATGATTCATCAATAGATCCCTGAGCCTTCAATGATTAAGAACGAAGTGAACGGTGAACGAAGTGAACGAAATGAACGAAATGAACGAAATGAACGAAATGAACGACATTTGACGACCGGGTCTTCGTAAGGACCGAACGATGAACGATCCGTTCGTAGTGATGACCGAATCTGCCCATCCCTACTGTCAAATAGAAAATCACAATAGAAAATATCCCTAGTTGGTAACTTAAATTGGTATCTATTGGCTACACTTGTTAAATGAGTCCACTAATTTCCCGATAACAACGTATTTATTAATAAAACTATTTCTGAAAATGTTAATGGCTAGTTAATATTCTCGGCAGTTTTGAGAGGTGTTTTAAAAATCGTAACTAGCGGAACATTATCTACAATTTGACACCAATTTTCGGTCGATTAAACGAATTTTAACCACTTTTTTGGAAAATTTTTGCAAAGTTTGAACTCACTTTGCGTGTTTATTAGACCAGATATTGGGACGGCCATTTCAGAATCGTAACTAGCAGAGGATTATCAACAATTTGACACTAATTTTGGGTCGATTTAACCAATTTTAACCACTTTTTTGGAAAATTTTTGGAAATTTTGAACTTCCTTTGCGTGTTTATTAGACCAGATATCGGGACGGCGATTTCAGAATCGTAACTAGCGGAAGATAATCTACAATTCGACACCAATTTTCGTTCGATTAACTCTATTTTCACACCTTTTTTGGAAAATTTTTGGAAATTTTGAACTCACTTTGCGTGTTTATTAGACCTGATATCGGGACGGCGATTTCAGAATCGTAACTAGCACAAGATTATCTACAATTTGACACTAATTTTGTGTCGATTAAACCAATTTTAACCACTTTTTTGGTAAATTTTTGAAAATTTTGAACTCATTTTGCGTGTTTATTAGACCAGATATCGGGGACG